AAATGAGAATCAAGACTTCCCATGTAGAGGTACATGATCCCAACAATGAATGTAACTGTACTGTATCCCTAAAATGTACCAATAAACTCAATAAAATTTTAAAAAAATTCAGTGCCTCTGTTTTTTTGTGATCACTATCCCTATACAAAACCGACATACTTGAATATCTCTTCACTGATTTTAGAACTATTTTTTACAAAATCCTTTGCCTAAACTATTAGGTAAAGAGTTAAGAGGGAGAAAGAAGGAAGAAAGGAATGAAAGAAATGAGATTTCCAGACTTTCATGTTCCAGGTATTGTGCAAGGTACCTCATATTTATTGTCTACAATTCTCAAAATAACCCTTTAAAGTCATTTTTATCATGCTCAATCAACAGAAGATTGGAGTTCAGATTGGTATCTGCCCTAGGTCCCACTGTTAGTAAGTGAGAGCACAGATCCAAATGCTAACCAGTCTAAATACAAAATCAGGGTTCTCTGGCCTATGTCACACTGCTGCCATCTTTGCAGACCTATGGGCTAACAATGCACTAAGCACTTTTCTATGTGTGGCTAAAGGTGGGGGTTGCATGTACTTCTGGTTTTTCACAGATAAAGACTAAAATCCAAATTTAAAAATGCTACCTCTCTCCTCAGGTATTTCTATATTTTGTAGTGTGGAGCTGTGAATGGCAGTAGGATCTCTTCTCCACCCCTTTTTCAATTGCCTTAAGGATAGAATTGACATTTAACTGGCAGGTAACCAGCTATTAAATGATTGAAATCATTCTGTCCCAGCTGGTTGAAAGCTTGGGTAAACAGAGGCCTCCAGGATCTGATTCAACTCTTCTTAGTTCTTCTTAGTAACAAATCTGATGTGTACCCATGCCATACTGCTGTTTAGCTGTGTTGAATCTCACTTCTACATAAGAGAAGCCTTTGTATTACAGTTACATTATTTCCTTTGTGGGCACTGAAAAGCCTGTGTTCATTAACTGATTGTCAGTTAGCTCCACATTAAGGTGAAGTGTGGGACAAACTTCACTTTTATGCATGTATGAGGTGCTAGGAATGGAACTCAGGGTCTCATTCATGCTAGGTACATGCCGAGCCACTCAATTACACCCCCAGCCAAGATACACTCAACTACTGCTGTCTTCTTGTTTCATTAGGAAATTAAGAGCCTTTAATGTATTTTTCAGGGCCATCAGCTTCTAGCCCCCTTGACTTCCAGTTCGTTTTCCTTATCCTGTGTAGCACAGCACCCCTGTCTGGTTCCCTATGTCGCTCCTTTGCTGACCACCTTCACAAGCACCACCATTTATACTCTACCTTCAATGCCCAGAGACACACAGGTATGAATAGGGGCTAAGGGCTGGCATCTCCTATGTGATTCAAAGGTCTTAAATTCCATACCTTCCTTACTCCTGTTTCTTGGGGGAAAATTATTTTTGACATGCTTTTGAAGTTGTCCAAGCTTCTACAACAGCACATTCCTTGGATTTACATCTAGGCTTAGCCAGTAAGTCCAAAAAGATTTTTCTACAGTGTTGTACTTCAACGCAGGAATTTTCGTAGAAAAAAAAAATTTGCCTGATTTTTTTTAAGTTAGACAATATGACAACTGATTCAGCTAGTTTGAAGTATAATAGTATTTGTAGGTTCTGGAACTTGGTTGTAGAGAATACAGTTAAGGACAAGTTAAAAGTAAAAAGTATCTTTATAGTCCCAATATATATATAGCCCATAAACTAAGTTCATAATCATGAACTAATAATAACTGATAATCCATGAACTAATCTTCTAGCAGTCCATCACCAAGAGATCTGCTCAGGCCTCATTCAGAGCATGCAAGAGGTGATCAAAGATTTATGGTGAATATTAATATTTTTAAAATTCATGAAAGTAAAAGACACATTGCCATGAAGACCCCTCAGATACACTTATTTCATCATTCTTGCCACTCTCTGAAACTGTCCTGGAAGTCTTCTTTCATAATTGTATTTATGAGGTATGATTAAAAATACAGTGAAAGTCGGGTGTGGTAGCACACACCTGTAATCCTAGCACCGGGGAAGCTGACGCAGGAGGATTGCTACAAATTCAAAGCTAGCTTGAGCCACATAGTCCAAGGCCAGCCAGAACCACACAGTGGATATATTATACAATATACAATAATATATATAGCATTGCCTCTTCATGCCATCCAAAGAAAAACAGGCTCATAAAACAGTGTAGCCTCATCAACACCAGATTTAGAACTATGTGACTCCTGGCTCTTCCCCAAAGTCAAATGATCATGAAAAGTAAAGGGTTTGAATCTATTCAGGACAACAAGGCAGCCACAACAGTGCTAGCTAAAGACACTCAGGGAGAGAACTTTCAGACTGCTTCAGAAAGTGGCAAGAAAGATGGGATAAGCAAGTTTCCAGTGAGGGGAAGTCTTTTGCAGGAGATTAATGGCAATGTATCTTTTACCGTAACATATTTTTTTAAAAAATTGAAACATTCACCATATTTGTCGATCATGCACTCACTGCTGCTTGATCCAAGAAGTTGATGCTAAATCATTGTTTGACTTTGTTCCTTAGGCAATTAGAGGCAACAAACCAAAGAGAAGGGAGTGAGGCTGCTTGTGAAGATCTGCTACAGCAGGGAAGAAGGATCACTGACAGCCCCTTAGCAAAGCTATAACAAACAGACATAGCGTGTTACTGCCTTGACCACATAGTGCTGGGCAGAGTGCCTGACTGATGGACTGTGTTATGCTCTGCTGTAACACCCTTCCACAGGCCATGAGACTTACATCAGGGTCTAAAACTCTGAAATGATGACACAATGATGCCAAGAACCAATAAATTATATACCAATACTCTTTGAGAACACAATTCTACCAAAAATCTAAAACATTTTCATGTCCAGAGAAAGAAATTATGGCTATCCAGAAAATATTGCTACCTAGCATTGTTTCATAATCTGGATTGACCAAGTTTCAGCAAGAACATACAGCTTAGACTTTACAAATAGGTTGCTGAAGCTAAGAAAGTGGATATAGGGCCGGGGATTTAGCTCAGCGGTTTGGTGGCCTGCCTTGCAAGCACAAGGACCCGAGTTCAATCCCCGGTACCAAAAAAAAAAAAAGAATAAAGAAAGTGGATATAGGGCCGGGGATTTAGCTCAGCGGTTTGGTGGCCTGCCTTGCAAGCACAAGGACCCGAGTTCAATCCCCGGTACCAAAAAAAAAAAAAGAATAAAGAAAGTGGATATAAAGTGTTCTCATCATGAAAATAATAATGGGAGGTATTGCATGTGTCAGTTAGCTAGATTTAGTCATTTCATGATGTATATAAGATTTTAAAAACATCATTATATAATAAATGCATTTAATTGTATCTGTCATTTTTAATCTAAAATTTATAAATAAGTTATTCTGCATTCTTATTTCTATCATCTTTGAAATACTTGATTTCTATTTAGAGTTCATAAAATGTATAACTCAAAAAGTGGATTTACAGGCTCATGTTGTCCTAAACATGACAAAAGTTTTTTCAGTAACATAAATCAAGTACCAAAAATACATCTTCATGTAATATTCAAATCTACATTCACAAAACTGGTGCATTTCTTTAGAAGAACTGATTTGATCTTGAAGCAAAGTATCTCAGTTTCAAAGCTCTGTCTACCCAAGTTTAGTAAATTCCCTAACTCTGTCAATGCATTAATATTAATAACATTGACTTCAGAAGACTATTACATAAATCAATAACACTAACAGAACTTTCCTCAAATTTTACTTGCAATTTGGTAGTGAACTGTAACCCTATCAACTTAAAGTAAAAGTTTTGCCATATTATTTTAGAAAATACTATTTTAAAATAATTTTAGAAATTCATAACTAATGGTTTCTGTTATGAAAAGTTTCCATTTTAACACACGTATTTGTTACGTTTTGGATTGTGTTCCTCAAGACACATTGGGGTCTTAATCTCCAGTATCTCAGAATGTGCTGTTTGCCTGACAGTAAAATCTTTACAGAGACAATCAAGTAAAAACAGGCTCTGGTGTCATCATAGGAGTTTGCACACAGAGATAGACACACATGGACAAGAAACATAGGATGAAGACAGTTAGGTACAAGGCCATACCTGTGTAATGCAAGTGAAAGCAATAAGGCTAGGACAGATCCTTCCCTGGCAACATTAGACGGTCTGGAGCCCTGTATATACCTTGATTTCAGATTTTTGGCCTCTAGATCTATGAACAACAATACTAGGAAACTAATAATAGTTCTACTAAGAAGCCACACCTAAATTTTTGCTTTTATTGAAGCCTCAAATTAAGCTTTTCTATATGCACTGTGAATACTGATGAGAAAATGTAAACCATGCTGCCAAACTTTTGTCTTTGATTACTCAATATTTGGCAAATATTTTGTTTGCTTCAAAAAGAGTTTGAATTGCAATTAAAGAGTCTATAACTCAACCAAGGAGTACTGGCACAGAGTCCAAGATCATTAAATTTGTCATCTTTTATTTCTTTCAACAGTTCCATAAATTGGTGATGATTCATAGCATTTGCAGAATTTATATTGCTTTGAGAGAAAGCCTATCACATACTGAAAATATAAGAAAATAGCTTCATGATACCATTCTGTTCTGGGCAGCAGTACGATCTAGAAAGAGCTTTTGAATTAGGTCTGCCTAGGAATTCTTCTCAAATCCAGTCTTCCCCTAGATTCCTACCTGCAGGAAACGTGGAATATTGTTTTCCTCACAGCTTCACTCAGAACATTTAGAAACTCCAGGTCAGTTCCTGGCACACACTCTGTTAGTTGGCTTCCTCTTCCCCGAGGGACTTTTTAGACATTCAATGAACTATTCAAATGAACTCTGGTGGCTTTTAGTCACACTCTGGCTACACTCGCACTTTCCCATTTCACACTGTGCTCATCTCAAAAGTCACTTATTCTGGCATACATTAACTGGTGTGTAAAAATATTGTACAAAATGGTTAGCCATACTTGTCTGATGGGTGGGACTCCACAAAATACCCAGCAAAGGGACAATAAATTCGGGGTTGCAGGTCCATCACCAGCTGAGCCTTATAATTCAGGAGCTTCTTCCTTTCTGTTTTAATGAATTGAGCTTTCCATTCCTCTGAAACGACAAGATTTGGGTTAGAGTCTCCTGTATTCGGAAATCACAGAAAAGCGAATGCTTGAGTAGACTGGAATTTGTTCAGGAGATCAAATTGAGACAAGGCGGAAATAAAGTAAAGCTTTAATAGAGGACAACTCCCTGGCTTTATTCTGCAGCTTTTAGTTGACTACTAAGAAAATGTTAGCAGATCAGCCCAAAGTACTGAGCTCTCTTCTTGCTTATGATAATTTGTTTTGGACCCTGGCTGAATACATAAGCTATGTATGGCTGGATCCCATATGCAAGTATATCTTAAAGGCATTGTAATTCTTATAACTACCTTTTATTAATACATTAGTGACTACAATCTTAGTGTAGTACAGAGTAAAAATTATTCTTCAGCACCCAACAGTGGAAGGTATTCAGGAGCACAGACTCGTAGGTAGAATCAGAGTCCTGCCCCACCATTACCAGTTGTGCTATACTGGGAAAACTAGTAAAGTTCTCTTCATCTGCTTTCTCTTCTATAACATGATGCCTACCGCCCAAGGTGGTCAATCAGCTGTTCTCTCTATCAACTGATATTTACTATGGGCCTCCTATGTGCCAAACACAGTTAGTCATAGGTACTAAGAATACAGTCGTGAGCAGGACAAAGCAGGTCTCTGCTCTCATGAAGCATATGCTGTAGTAAGACATGCAAAGAATGGATAAGGAGATGAAGTCATCGCCAAGAGTGATGTGCTATGTAGAGCACGAAAAAGGGCAGCACGGCAGAGAGAGTCTGGGATGCAGTGGACTGAGACAGAGGAGTATTCCTAGACAGGGTGGTCAGGGAGTGCAGGGAAATGGAGTAGAGACACAGTCAAAAGATGCCAGCTCTTTGGCGTTTAGGGTAAGAGGAATCCAGGCAGAGGAGCAGCGAGTGCAAAGGTCTGGAACAAAAGCACAAGACACACGGAGTCGGAGGAAGGTAGAGTAGCCAGTGTAGTGGAGACAGCACACCCTCAAAGTCAGGCAGGAAAGGAAGTCAGGGAAAAAGGCAGGATCAGAGCACACACAGTGCACAGCGAGGGAGTTGCTAAATACTATGATTATTCCCATGAAAATTAGATAAATGTAGATAAAGACATAGAAAAAGAAATGTTACTCATAACCAAGACACCATTCTTGTTAACATTTCAAAATATTCTAGACCTTTTTAAACACACACACACATACACATGCACACTGGAATTCTGTTAGTTAACCTTGAATAAGTATATTTTGCCTATCCACTCACACAGTTAACTTTTTAAGGACAGAATTATCCCTCTGTCTGGAAAGCAATGACTGCACAGTTAGAGAAGAAAGCAAGGGACCAGACAGAGGTGACTTCATGCTGTAAGGAGGGCATTTCTCCCACACTTCAGGCACAGGTCACTTATGAACACTGTGATTTATTCATTGGAAATAGCGAGCACTTACCATGCTCACATAAAGGACACCAAATGAATGGAAAGCACCACTTATACACTTTCCTCATGCCAGCCACAGCACTGTATTTGGACCCCAAGTGGAAGGGCTCTTGCCGGGGCCCCACCTTTTCAGGTGTGCCACTCCCTTGCTAAGCATCCTGCAGAACTGACAGGTACCCTTGTTGAGTTGCACACACCTCATGCTGGACCACATTCCGAGCACATTTGAGTCTGGATCATCATGACTCCGTTTCCTGATCTGCTTTAGGGTTCCCACCATGAACCAGCATAATCCTTTCCCTGGGCTCAACCAGAGGCTCTCCCTGACCTCAGTGCTTTTTTTCTGTTCCGCCATCACATTTTGAGCTGGAAACTTTAGTTTACAAAAACTGTGGTTTAAAAGTCTGGTTTCCCTATAAGCTTGTAAGTTTCTCGTGAGGATGAACCATGTGTAAATTATATTTGTGTCTATTTTCACATGATTGAACAAACTGCCAAGGATGGCTTTGGCATCATTTCAATACAAAATATTACCAGTGAATTTTCCGCCACTGAAAGTCATTGGAAATCCAGATGCTCCACCAGCAAAATCACTCATCATAAGAGCAACCTTTGCAGGCAGCCTGCCCCCATTGGGCCTGGTGCAGTCCACTGTATTGAGTATTTTGTGGCCTGTAAAGAAAAATAGTATAGATATTCAAGGTGAAAATCTCAACCACCATAGTTTGAATTCCCAAGCCAACAAAGTCTTCTATGTATAGTCTCTATATTCTGACTTGTTTGACATAGAAGAATTGGTTATACCCAAATAAGAACAAAGATTAAGATTTTAAAATTTAAAGCCTTAAATAGCATATTCTCAATTTTCAAGTGAATAAACTCATCCCGCTTGACTGGTGGATTCTGGGTATCTCATGAAGATAACTATCTTGATTGCATTTGCCATCACAGATGGACCATGTTCTTTGTCCAGTTATTTCCAGATGTTGAGCCTCAAGGACCCAAGGGAGAGTGACTAGATCAACAGGAATTTCTCTGTTTTTTGCAAGTCCTGTGCAAAGTTCATATTAGAATGATTATTGGAGTTGTAAGTCTGTATTCTCATATGAAAGGCAGAAGTGTTCAATTAGATTGCCTGATAATTTTCAAGATAAAAATAACCAAAGACATTTATTCAATAAAGGTGGTTTTGAAGAATTTACTGTAAGAAATAGAAAATAGCTATTGCCTGATGAACAAAGCAGGTTTCACACCTGTCATTACATACGTGACATAATTGGTAATACACTGTGTAGAAAGATTACCTGAGTGATTGTCTTTTAAAGACAAAGGATATAATATTCTACATTATCAAATGTCAGACCACTGTTACTGTCTTTCCTACCCAGAGTATTTTCACATCTCCCTATTGAGGACGATAAGAAAGTACCTTTGTACTCGACGATTATGCATGTGTCCATCTCGGGATGAACGCCATCCATCAAGATCATGAATCGAAGGTTTTTATCTACCTGGAATTCAACAAGGAAAGCAACACTTTGGTATATCATTTTGGTTCAATATTAAGAAGGTTGTCACTTCTGAAAGTACCTCAGATTTGAAAAATAAATCTCCTTTTTTAACTGTCATAGAGGTTTATACTATTGAATAATGGAAAGAAATCCATGTTTTAATAAGGACAGTTATGTCCAATACTTGAAGCTTAAATAAAGGTTGTATTCACTCAGTACATGTACAGACATCAGCCACTTTCCCTCCTTAATCATTAGGTGATTATCCCACCTAAAATTCACTTCAGAAAACATAACTGGGAAGTGTGGAGAGCAAACAGATTTCTGACCTGCTGCCATATTCCAAATGGAACCACATTGATGTTAGTTAACTGGACACCACTCTGATTCAGATTCCAAAATACAGGTCTTTCCGTGTCACCAACATATATTGGAATATCTTGTCTTCTTTCTGAAAGCTTCTTTAGTGTAGGGTAACTAGGATTAGAAGAATAGAAAATTTAAAAGCTGAAAAACTAGTATTATCTAGAACAGTTTGAGGAATTTTAGAAAACGGGACTCTGACCAGAGTCCTGACAAGTTTCTGCTCACAGTTGAGTACACTGTTGAGTGGTACTTCCTAGAAGACGCCTCTTTATTTTTGAAACCTGGCTTAGACCAAGCAGAGTATTTCTAGTAAAGTGTACAGAGTGGGAAAAGCCAAGCTGCAGAAATTGGTAGTAGATGAAGCTCTCCGTGACCTTCATTTCTTCCCCTTCCCAAAGTAGTAGTGATAGGGAAAACTTTTATAAATAGCAAAAACCTATAAAGTGTTACAATGTAAAATGGCTTCTGCTGTCTCTAACAGCAATTTGTTTTGTTTAGCCCAGAACTAATATGCACTGAAGGCACTAATTGCTGAATGAGACATTTGGCCTGACCCTGGGATAACAGGGCACATCAAGGTCTTGAGCTCTGAAGAGACTGGAGCCACATGATCATACAAGGGCCTACATAAAAGAACCCGTTGCTAACATTTGCTTCCCTGACCCTGAACACCCCCTTCCTATGGATTAGAATAGGTAACTAGGTGAACCTTAAAAGTAAACGCCTCAACTGCAAAGAACTGTTACGTTTGGATTGAAATTTAACTATCCTGTGACCGTAATTTGAACTATGAGAATGAAATGTAACCACTCAAATGAAGTCAAGGCTGTGAAACCCTATAAAAAGATGAGTTGTAACCCAGTGTATCGTCAATCCAGGCACAATTTATGTGCAATCGACCCTCATCAATAAGTAAATTCATTATTTTACTTCCATCCTGCTGCCTCTTTGTGTCACTTACTGATTCCTTCTGTAACAGTAGCTCCCACTAAGAAAGCGTACTGGACTATAAGACAGAAAGATCCTGCAGGTCACCCCATTTAGGAGGTCAGTTTTGCAACCTTAAAAGGCCGACAGCCCCACTTTGATAAGCAGAATGTATTATTTATGCTTAAAGAGGATGCACATTACCATCCAGGCAAGACTGTAAAATTTAATACAATATAAGGGAAACTATCTTTGACAGTTACGGTGATCCCAACTCAGTCCATAATCATCCAAGTGTTTTTGAACAGCTATATACATGAAATTGACTTTCATTTATGGAACATTCATGATATAAGAGGATTCCTATATACCATTGTGAGCTATCAGTACAATGTCTAGGTACCCATCACATTTCAAATATACACAAGCGCTAGGCACTTTCACATGTCTGATTCTTACAGAATGCTCTGCAGATTTTTGTTTTGATAGATGAGGAAGCATGTTCAGAAAAATACAACTAACAAATAATAAATTGGTACGAAAATTTAAATTTTCTGAATCTAAACATAGTATTTCTATAGGAAGTTTGTTTCTAACATTAATGAATACACTCTCTAGTTTAAGAACTAGACTAGCACATAAACCATAATATGAGGTAAAAATGAAACATAAAATTACAAGAAAAGTATGAACAAAATCTTTATATCAGCTATACCAACTGTATTCATATTCATATGCTAAGATTGTGTTAAAAGCTGGCTAAATAAGTACAATTCGTGGTGGGAAGTCAGTTTTTCCCCCTCAAAAAACAAAGGATTAAAAAAAATCAAGGATTCATAGGTAAATGGGTACATTTTGAGGATATACTCCTGAGTAAAATAAATAAGTCACACATGTGTAAATACCGAGTAGTTTCTCTGGTGTGAAAAACTAAAATAGTACTCAAGATCCTAACGGGCAATTAGCAATGTAAAATAGGAAGAAAAGGACTAAAGGTGTAGGGACAGTGAAAAGGTTAGGGGAAGGGGAATAAGGGAAAGGGAAAAAAATATGAGAAAATGTAAAAATGGAATTAAAGTGTTTGTAGGTAGGGAGTGGGGGAGCGGGTGAAGGGAGGGTGGGGACAAGGGGAACAAATGAGAAGCAAGACCTGTCATGTAAAGGTACAAGATACCAGTAATGAATGCAAGTGTACTGTCTACCTAGAATGTACCAATAAATTCAATATAAATTTTAAAAAACATCAAGGATTATTTGAATATCCTTTTAACCTCTTGTTTTAATCTTGTGTTTTAAGAGACTTTGAGAGCTAGAATAAATTAGCCTATATGTATATTTATTACTTTGTAATTTTTTTTTTTTTTTTTGGTACCGGAGATTGAACTCAGGTCCTTGTGCTTGCAAGGCAGGCCACTGAAACACTGAGCTAAATCCCTGGCCCTACTTTGTGATATTTTTTATTTCTGATGATTCTTATTGGCATCTATTGACATTATCTATTACAATACTCTATATAGTAAAATCACATTTTACTGTATCCACTAAAGTACATTGGCCTTTCCTTTTGTTTTGTTTTGTTTTTTCCCTAGGAGATTTTATTCAACATGTAAAGGTCAGACAGTAGGGATGGGGACAAATGACCTCAATGTTTATTAGTTGATTAGGAAATTATCAAAAAGCAAGGGTCTATCAGTGTAACACACTCAAATGTATAAAAATGGCCAAGCCAGGCATGGTGGTGCACACCTGTAATCCCAGCACTAGGGAGGCTGAGGCAGGAGGATCGCTGTGAGTTCGAGACCAGCCTGGGCTACATAGTGAGTT